TATTAATAACTCCCGTTTTGAATACAATGATAAGAATTACATATTCAAGTAAATATAAGTAGGTGACTCGTATTATCATATTAATTGGTTTACTATAAATTGCCCTTCAGAATGGTAATGAGTGAATATAATTTTGAATATAAAGATCATTACTTACGTTGTGATTAAATCGTAGGGTTTTCTTGCGTTTATGAGATATTACATGGGTACTTAAATGTGTTGATAGGAACAGTCGAAACAAAAAGTGGCTTCTTCGAATATCTTGTATGAAGCGGTCCGCTCTTTTCTTTAGTATTAAAATATATTAGCTAAACCGCTCAACATTACGCCTGCTTCATTGCAAGAAATCTGCTTCACAAAACATTAATATGCGAATCCCATTGCACTCGAGAATCTTGCGTACCTAATGTCATGAAATTTTGTTGATTCCGCTGACTCAACTATTTCACTATTTATTTATAAGTTGCCTCAAATTAGGCAGTGTAGACTTTATGCATTTCGTTCTATTGAAATTGAGTTGATTTAATTTTGGCAAACTAATGTAGAATATTACAAGAGTACTATTTAAATCGTCATAACAATAGTTGCCCCTGATAGCTTTAATCATTAGAGGTATCATCTGCAAATAATACTGTCCCGCACAAATTCTTGTTAGTAATGGGTAAGTTAAAATGAAAGCGATGGTCCTAATATTGACCCTCGAGGCACACCCATGGTGGTGGTTATACCCCATAGGTGCACCATACACTGCTTTATTATTTGCAAATACATATTTCTATTTATTATTAGGATTAATTTTGCATTCACAATGCTTTACTAGAACATATTGATAGTGAAAAATGCTTAAAAAATTCACTTTGTCCCTAATACTCTGAGATGGGATTTGAAACCACGCCCTTCCGCAATCCGAGCGACTGCTCTAACCACTGTGCTACCCAGAACTGACGAATTTCTCAAGCACTTGTTACTTTTTTACAGAGAGTACTTTCATAAATGTTCAGGTAACCCACCCAAACAGCCAAAAGAAATATTTATACAAATATTTTAAACTTTCGATAAAGATTTTTTTTTCTTGTCATGGGTTCGAGTCCCATCTCAGATTACTAGGGACAGAGTGGGTTTTTAAGCATTTTTCGTTAAAAATACATATTTATATTCTAACCAAGTGAACTTAAAAACAGGAAGAGGTCCTTAATTCCACTGAATATTGTTTTTATGGATATGTTCTTCAGTAGCGGACCGATTAGTTTTTTTATTTTTTATTATTATAAATTACATCAAAAACGAATTTAGAGTTCTGTTTTTGTATAAAAAAACTGGAATAATTACATTGTCTAATATATTTTTTTAAGATGTGCGGACGTTTAAATATGTCATGGCCAAATATTCAAACCTCGTTCGAATACAAATGAAGTTTATTGTATTTGTTAACTGCCTTTATAGTTTTTAAGAATTTCTTTTCACTTTTTTGAAATCGTGTTTAGGTTTTTTAATAATCTATTTTGATTTCAACCGTGTTTCATGACTACCACTTTTTTAACGCTCCTAAGCATCAAAGATCTTTAAGTTAATATATCTTCGAGGTGCTATTTTGTATTCAAAAGAGTGCAAAAGCATTGTAAATAATTTTCTCAATTTATTAGCGCTTGTAATATACTAGGTAGATATTGGTTTAAAAATTTCAAAGTGAAATTATTTAAGTATATTTCATTCAAATTAGGAAGGGAGTATCCCTTTGAGATGTTAATATTTGTTTAATAAGTTGAAACGCTCTGTAGATGTAAAACAATAAACATCGGCAATTTTGTATATTTATCACTTGAATCGTTCTTGTACTCGGTGCCAATATGGATGTCTTTAGTTTATGGTAATTTGAAAGTGCAGGAGTGGCTCATTGGACGTGTAGGAAGTGAACATGTTGATCGCTGGTTTCTGACGTCTTGTTATAGATACCTTTCTCTACAGGTATGCTTGTCTACCAAGCTCTATTTGATATTACAAGTTGCCGTATGTTTTAAATCTGTATCTTAATATAGCATAATCGTAAATAACTTGTCCCATCCATCCCATCACACGGTGCCAGGGACCAAGTGGATTTATTAAGAATTTTTCAATAAGATTATATTAAACTTTGATACATAATTTAATTCTAACGCAGCACGAAGTTTGGTCAGGTGTTTGTATGATAACTAATAAATTCTACTGCTGATCTTAGTTTTCTTCGTCTGCGTCTTATTGTTACTTGGTGTACGTATAAACATGATTATTCTGAGAAAAGAGTATCGCGATAGAGTTTGTTGTGTCATCGACTCGGTTGTCATGCGTGTGCGCCGTCGCGTCGCCATGCACAGACGATTTCCTTTTTTGCTGATTGTACTCGATAAAGTTGTACATTAGGGTGCGTCTCATCATTATTATTCGATCACTACCGTAGTACGTAACATGTTAAGGTGGGAACACATCAATGTGTCGTGTTGTATCGAAATTGTTTCATACTTTAGTATGTAATTGATTATTTTCTCACGTCACAAAATACAAATAGGTTTTAAACTTTAAACGATATCGCGACTACAGAGCAAGTCAAAAATGTGTCTCCGCCTTACGTTCTCAGAAGCAGTGATTGTGTGCGGCGCGACCATGTGTCGTTTGAACAACACCACTAATTTGATTATTACGAAACATATTACATTTCGTAATACGTTCGTGTTACGATGTACCTACATGCTGCAACTGATCTTACGAGACATGTTACGAGATATATATGTTATAGTGTAATAAGTATTATATAGTTTTCACGATAGAAAAACATTTCAAAGCTACTCCTTGCAATTATATCTATTGTTATTGAAATAAATAAGTTTGTAATGGTTTAACGCCGAGCAGGTAGTCAATTAGAAACTGTTTTGCCGCTCAATTTCGGTCAGTAGGTGCAATATGCCATTATCTGTCCCTATTTGTGTCATTACCTGTACTGTTGATATCGTGTCGTTGCCTCCTAGTGCTTATGCGCTACAACTCGTATGTTTACCTGTCTCAGAAGTCGAGTACACATTATTCATGGTAACTTATAGGTAATAGGGACCGGCCGGACCGTTGACCAAACATGCCACCGACAAACATTCACATTACGCAATGCCGAAATTGCTACTGTAAATTACTTCAAACTATATATATATTTTGATTGGGTAACTCAAAGCTCATAGTCATTTTTTAAATGTTCGACGTTTTAATAATATGACGATGTTCTGCCACGTGTCTTCATTACTAATTAAATTATAGAACGAATTTATGCGGTTGTTGTTTTGGATAAATACATACCGCGTCAGCAATATTTTGTTTGATTTGATTTGTTTGATAATTATCTATGTATGTTTATATCATGTACATTTAAGACACCATAGACTACCTACCTAATTTTGATTTAAATTAAAATTTTCCAAAGTAACGGTTGCCTGGAAGAAATTGCTTCTTAGCGATAAGGCCGCCGATTGTACAATTTGTCCTATATTATTGTTACTTATTTTATTTATTGGTGTTTTTGTACAATAAAGAATTATTCTATTCTATTCTATTCTATTTTTTTAATTGCATATTATATTAAACAGTTAATTGAAATACATACCTCATCTTGCTTCCCTGTACACATGAACCATTGTTTTATTATGTTAGTGTACCTAGTCAGGTACATATTGGATTTGATATAAGTGCTATTTTATTGTAATACCATATATTAGTATTAGCGGCGTCACGTTACACATTCATTGATGGTATCATACAATAAATACATTGAGTTTTCCTCATTCACTTCATTGAGACCACGCGCATACGAATCATGTTTATAAAATGTATTTAAGTAAACAAAAGTACAGGAAAAACGTGTTACAAATCCTGTTAGGCACCTATTTGCCAAAGTAATAAACCCAAACCTTTTAACTTTGAAAATATTTCGATCTCGATTTTAGAGTAAATGGTTATATGGAAATTTCTTAGAACTAATAAATATAGCAAGTTAACAAGAAAAGGAAAAGCCTTTCCTTGAATTACTGGAGTAGGTACTTCATAGTTGTGTGGGATGTCGAATCGCTTTGTTTCAGGGCTAAATCGAGTAGGTTTTCTTAACTGGCCATCGTTCGTAGAAACTTATTTCGTTAGCGTTATGTAAACGGACTCAAACTAAACATATTTGAATGGAGTTCATTACTCTCGATGTTTCCTATCGCGATTTATACTTGTTGTTGGACAGGGACGAATAGAAATTGATCGCTTTAGGCGACGTTAACTTTGATGTCGTTCAACACACCACGCGCGACAGGAAATTTGATTTTTTTAAAGCAATTGAAAAATAAAAGAATCTGTTTCTTATTTTCAGTGATATGAATATAACCCTGACTTTTAAGGGTTCCGCGTTTCAAAATGAAAAGGACAGACCTCTTATAGGATCAATCGGTTAGAAATATCCTTAAAGGAAAATCACAGCTGATTTCTCAGAAACGACTGGACCGATGGTGAATGAATGTTAAACATGGAGGCCTGTACACCGCTGGGCTTCAGGATGATTGCGGTCAGTGTGGTAGTAATCGGTGAGCTGGCGCTTTGGAGACTATCGGCACAGGGACGCCCGCGGTCGCGTCATCGCGCATAACTCACTACATTGTACGCGATTTAATTTAAAATTAGCATTTTGTTGTTTTCTGTGCAAGGAACAAATTTGTATATAACGTAGGTAAAATTCATTTATTTTTCCATAATCTTATAATAAAATACACATGCTTTTTCGATGACGAATTAACTTGGATGACGAGTTCATAAAAACACATTTAAGCTGTCGATGGCGTACACACTGTACGGATGCACAAGAGATTTATGATCAGCATTTATTAGGATAAATCAAAAATACATCCTAATCGTTCGATTAGGATTGCGTGTACAATAATCGATCACTATCGCCTCCGTTTTTAGTCCCAGCCTCAATGAGTGTTGATATGTATAATTTGTTGCAGGGTGATATATTAGAATGTCCGCTGTGCCTGTCGGCGGTGTGCGGCGCGGGCGCGGTGCGGCTGGCGTGGTGCGCGCACCGGTGCTGCGAGCCGTGCCTGCGCCAGTACCTCGCCATCGAGATATTCGAGGCGCGCGTGCCGGTCAACTGTCCGGTGTGCCACGAGAACATGCACCCGCTAGGTGAGCGTTCGCGCACTCTACGGTTAGGGTATAGGTAGATGCGGCATAAAGTAGTAACTTAAACAGTCTTGGAAACAAATTGAATCATCATAAAAAGTCATAATATTTTCTATATCTGTTGTATTGATCACGAAAAATGTGCAGTCATATAAATAAGATTATAAAACCTATAAGACTTGGAATATTTTACGGTTTTTAAAGCACCCTCTCTTCTAATTGGTTGGCTTAGGTAAAAAAAAATCTTTAGTTATTAGTGAGTCAGGTCGAGCAGGCATGAATCAGATCTGGATCGAGCGTTTTCTCTAGTTAATCGTAAATGAGTGGCCATAAGCAGAACTTGTTGTAAGACGCAACGTGACTCAGACATTGTGTAAATTCCGTACAATGATGGCAAATGGTGAAAGTGGTCATCGGTTAATAATAATCTTTAATTATGCGACTACCACATAGAGAGGACGATGCGCAATGGCAGGAATAATTGGCGAACTAAGATGTGCATACGTCTCGTTTTACTTATTGTCTATAATTTTTGACTGACCAAAAAGTGTCCATGATTAAAGTTACCCTGTGGTCCTCTCCTCTAACAACTTTCATCGTAGTAAAATACAGCGGACGGAGTACACAGCACAGTAACACACCCGACCGACCGTCTATTGTAAATTGACGCCGCAACTATATCATTACATATGGCTACTATACTTCAAATACTGTTATGCCGCCGCTGCGTTTCCCGTAATATATGATTTCTAAGTTTCGCACCCTTTAACACAACAGATATTTGTTATTTGACATGATGATAATTTAACAGGACATCAATCTAAAAGCTCTATATTTAAGTATTCAAAAGTCATCTGTGATTAAACTGTAAAGTGCTTCTAGTCTCTTCACTTAGACGGGATGAATGATTAGATCAAGTCGGGGAACGCCGTGTTCAATTATTGTATCGACGCTATTTGTAACCGACTTCCCATTTGATATTTATTATTGCGGTTTGTTTGATGTTTGTAAATAATTTTATTTGTACAACAAACAAACAATGAAAATGTTAAGAATGTACAGTTATCAACAATGGATCGTTAATATGCTTTTTTCACGTAACACGTCACCACTGACTCACACCCGCGTTATATCTCAATGTCAATCGTCTTTATATCCGTAATATTAAAAGCCATTTGTAGAGAAAGGTTGTCTGCGTCGTCACCCAAGATGATAATTAGTTTACAACATTAATAGTTTAATCGGTTACTTTACTTACTGAGTTATATTGCTATCTGTGTAGTAATAATTTATTTAACATTTAATTGAACTCTTTCACGATGGTACCATTTACGGTAAATTTCGTAAATTTCAAACATATTTGTTCTGGGATCTCGTGGTTAACATAAATAGTCTCAGAAAGCTTGTTTCTAAAAAAAACTTTTTATATTTTATATTTTGCTTTTGTCACATTTTATTTATTTTTGACATAGCATCTGTATTGCAAGGTGTTTTTCCTGTTACTTTTATATATGTTGTTGTTCTCATAAAGACGGATTTAACGAGCCCAAACACGATGCAGTTACGTCATTTCATCACTGAGTTTCTTTGATCACCTTCCGACTTCGTCATCACATCAGCTCACTGACACCATAATATTGCATTACCATCTGACTGTCTATGCAAAATTTCTAATCTATCAGACATTGGGAAGTGGGTTCTATTTGAGTTTCGAGAATTGCGCACTGGTGCTCGATTTTGTTGGTCAGATCAGTCGGCCAGTTTACCGCGTACGGGTTCGAGTGACGTCACGGTGCTTTGTTTGGTTCCAGACGTCCGGCGCATCCTCGACAACCCTGTGTTGTACGAGAAGTACGAGGAGTTCTCTGTGCGGCGCGCCCTCGCCGCCGACCCCGACACCAGGTGGTGCCCCGCGCCCGACTGCAGGTACCGACCCGTCGCACGCTCCCGGTTATCAGATAGATTTCTGTGCCGAATATCCTAAACGACAAATTTGTGTTGTGTAAAATATGAAACTATTATTTTACCTTGAAGTTAGCGCTCGGCACTCGTGACACATTCTTATGCAAAATTAACCGACACGATGTCAAGAAGCATCGTGATGGATTTCGTGAATGCGTCTCTTGCTAAAAGATTCCTGTTAGTAATTGCGTCGTCGGATATCTACAATAGGGATGACGACTGGGTAAAAAAATGCAATTCTATTTAGTCAGTCAGTCAGATAATAGAAAAATATTAGATACGTATTGAATAATCGCCGTAACATCGTATAACCACGTGGAACTATATATTTGCGTGGTGCAGTTTCGCAGTGGTGGCGACGGGGTGCGCTTCGTGCCCGAAGCTGACGTGCCTGGCGCCGGGGTGTGGCGCGTCGTTCTGCTACCACTGCAAGGCGGCCTGGCACCCCACGCAGACCTGCGACGCCGCCCGCCGCAGCCGCCAACCGCAGCCCCGCGCCCCGCAACCCTCGCACGCGGACCTCGACCATGGTGCGTACCTCCCTTTCGGTCATTTCCGTTTTATATACGTGATAATACAATTATATATTATATTTAACGTGATACCGTTTTCGATTCAGGTGAGGTGAAACCGTGCCCCCGCTGTTCCGTGTTGATCGTGAAGGTGGAGGACGGCTCGTGCAACCACATGGTGTGCTGCGTGTGCGGCGCGGAGTTCTGCTGGCTCTGCATGAAGGAAGTCTCAGATTTGCACTACCTCAGGTACTCATACTCCGATCGAATTTTACAAATGACATAGTTTCGAGATAGAGGAGTGTACCATACACATCGTACATTTCTCGAGTCAGCATTTTATTTATTATTCTTGATTACAATTATTATTTTAACCTACGTTCACGTCTGTTCGTTGTGATGCGTACTCCTAGCTAGTATTATTACCTTGGTTTTTATAAATAAATAGTTTTCAGCCAAATCAGTGTTTCTATCAAGATTACCATAGCAGTTAAAGGTGCATAGACCTTACATCTTTATGGTCTATTAGATGTACCTGATTGACACGTCTTTCATCCATCATTTTTAGGCGACTTGATTCATTCATCTCATCTTCATCTTCAAAAAATCCTCAAGCGTTGGCAAGTCACGTGGCTTCTGCAAAGATTCTACATGATTTGTTTCCTGCAAAAATTATCTTTTGCTAGAGTCGCTATTTAGTGGAGGTGCTTTTTAGTGCTTTCTTTTTTTTAATACTTCTTAATTCTCTGAACTGATAATATTTAAGTGCTGTATTAATTTTTCGACTTCACCGCGCACTTTATTTTTCAAATTAGACATCGATCGATTGTTATGTATTGACTCTTTGAAAAGGTCTTAAACGAAAATTTCCGCTATAGGTCGGAATTTCCATTTGAGGTGTAGGTTTCTCTCGGTGACTCATTGAACATTTCGAGTTTATTAGTAATTTCTGCCAACAGTTGTAGAATTCTTGATTATAATCTTCATCTTCGTCACACATGTCACTGTCTATGTCCCAGTGGAATGAGTCAATTGTAGTTCAGCGTGTTAGAATTAATCGTAAAGCTTCCTCCAATTCCCATTGTTCATTGATATTTGCCAAATTTATATAGTGTTAAAGTGCGTGCAAAGGCTTTGAAATTACTTTGTTGCTTTTTCATAATTTCTCTCAAGCTCATTGGTGTCAAGTGATGATTTGGTTTTGTTGTTTGAGATATCGGTTGAAGTTCGCTGATATGCTTGAGTAGAGGCTGGTCTTTTTCGCAAATTCCATGTGTTAAATAAATACACTTCTTACTTCTTGATTAAATGCTTTAATATTCTCATACTTTTGTTCGGAGGAATACGGATAGTCTTCAGATTTAAATGCACATATTTTTTCATGATTAATTTGAAGTTCTTCTTAATAATTGTATAAAGTACCTATTTTATTTTCGATAATTTCGACCGCCTTTTTTGTAATTCACATAAAGCTTTATAAAGATTAATGTTTCCATGTTTGAATGAAACATTGATTAAAAATGTAATTACCGGTGCTTTAACAAACCAAAATGATGATATTGCTCAGTAGACGTTTATTGTGATATGTAATTTCGGAAGTAGGTCCAATAGGCTGATCGTTTATACCGCTTCTGGGAGGTCAACTAAACGGATTTGCTATCACATAATTCACGCAAACAACACTCGAAGGACCATAAAGACGTACGGTCTATACACCTTTAACTTACTATGACGATGATCTCATTTGGTTATTTTGATAGAGGTAGTGATTTAACTGTCAATTTTTTATTTATAAAAATCAAAGTAAAATATTACCGCAAGCAGGAGAGGACATTCGGGACTTTTCAAGTTTCAACTGAACGAAACGAAAGAACGATCGCATCCGCTCACTTAGAATTAGTTGAATCTACAACCGGGGCCGTTCGCTACTCCGACCCCCGATACCGGGGAGGACGTCGAACCGGCGATGTTCTTTTTTGTACCCAATCATGGGTTTCGACAAACGGTCGAGCGGCTCGGGAACGCGATCGAGACGACCCGTTCAGGGTCAGAGCTCTGCGAACCGTCTCGTCGAAGCGGGTCAGAGGACGAGGAAGATAACGCGGGGGCGGGAATGTGTGTGTCCGCAGCCCGTCCGGGTGCACGTTCTGGGGCAAGAAGCCGTGGTCGCGCAAGAAGAAGCTGCTGTGGCAGCTGGGCACGCTGGCGGGCGCGCCGCTCGGCATCGCCGTGGTGGCGGGCGTGGCGCTGCCCGCGCTGCTCGTGGGCCTGCCGCTGTGGGCGGGCCGCCGCGCCCACCGCCGCCTGCGCCGCGCCTCGCCCGCCCGCCGCCGCGCCGCCGTGGCCGCCGCCGTCGCCGCCGCCGTCAGTACTGCCCCATACCGATACCGACACTCGACACTCGACGGCGGATCTGGCCTGCCGCCAGGCGGGGGACGTCTAATATATTTATAAAAAATTTAATTAGTCCACCTAGGACCCCCGATCCGCCCTCGTGTCGTCGAAGCTTAAACCCCTTTGAGTCGAATATCAACACTGTACGTAAACTCTCTATTGTCCGATTTCATTTCTTAATTCGACACACGACCACGCGCCTCCGTCGGAGACGGTGGGGCTGTGTATGTGTACTCGTGTCCGTGTGCGTGGTCAGCTGGTGGTGTCCCCGCTGGTGGCGGGCCTGGCGGTGGGCATCGGCGTGCCCATCCTGCTGTTCTACGTGTACGGCGTCGTGCCCGTGTCGCTGTGCCGCGCCGGCGGCTGCGCGCCCCCCGCGCCCCCCCGCCCGCACCGGTTCGACGACCCCGAGCCCGACAACGCCTCCCGGAGACTGGAGCCCAGCATAGGTGAACTGGCAGCTCCTCCGCTTCGGATGTCACTCGTGTAGAGTAGACTCGTCCCGCAGACTGTGACCGTCCGCTTGTCGGTGTGCAGGTGACGCGTCCCTGTCGGCGGGCAGTGCGCACGCGGAGGCGCGCGCCCCCTCGCTGGCCGCGCTGGCGGGCTCCCTGGGGGGCCCCTCCGCGCCCTCCCCCTCCCCCGCGCCCGCGCGCCGCCTGCAGGTCACCGCCGACGTGCTCGACCCCGCGCCCTCCACCTCCTCCTCCTCGTCCACCGCCGCCTCTTCCACCGCGCGCCTGCGCAGCCTGTTCCTGTACGGAGCCGCCGCGCCCGCGCCCGAGCCCGACCTCGAGGCCGGCGCGTGCCCCGCGCCCCCCTCCCCGTGCCCCTGCCCCGCGCCCGCCCCCGCCCCCCCCCCTGCGCCCTGGACGTCGGCGACGACTCGTAACCGAGGAGCCTGGCCCGGCCGGCGCCGTCCCCCTGTGCTCCCTCGGGCCCGCCCGTCCTGAGCTGCGACGTTCCGAGTGGTCCATTGAACATTCACGATTCTCTGGTGTGGCGCGTTCGAGATGAATCTTAATTTTTGAGCACGAGACTCTGGTGCGAAATCGACCGGGACGCCGCGGCGAGCGAAGCTCGTCCGTATGTCGTCTGGAACGTCGAAGTTCAGACCGCCGGTTCTCGGGCCCGGCGGGTGTCGGCGGTTCCCGGGCCGCGCGTGTGTGCGTCGGCGTGGGCCGTGGCTGATGTTCTCCGGCACGATATCCGTGCCGTTGCGTGCCGTTCGTCCGACGATCGCGGACTTTGTGCCAATGTAGGAGGGGCCCGGGGCGGAGGGGAGGAGGGATGGGCCGCGCGCCCGTCGGCCGGACGTCCGCGGGCCGCTGAGATAGATGCTTCGCGCTTCCAGTGCAGTGTTATTCTATCCGATATTTGTGATACTTTGAATAATAATTACTATTAATGATCTAAATTATTTAATTTTTCACGTTTGTAGGCAAAAGTAACGATAAGCGATGAATATTTACGTTGTGAATTATATAAATGTAAACAATTATTAAAATGTGATTATAACTAAATATTTCTTTCATTACATTGTATCTTGTATATCAAAGGAGTAAAGGATATTCAAACCGTTTAAGTTTATAGTACATTATCACAAAACGAGAAAGTGTCAGTTGATTGACGTTTTTAGAAAGAAAAAGGAGCTTCTAATATGTTATTGTTTAAAAGGTATACCGTCGCGTACATAGATTAAATCCGATCCTACAGCACCACAGCTCCAACATATTATGAAAAGCTTTTGTTTTTCTTCCATAAAGTTATGTCTGTCTATACAGCATGTAATAAAACTAGCTACTAGCTAGCTAAGATACCAGAGTAAATTATATAAATAATCTCATTAACTACAAAGTGTTCCACCGCTGATTATTCCAATTCAATTGTCATTATTATTTATTGTGACGAAATCCCTTTTAACGTGATAAAACCTCGTCGGGAGCCCGGGGCTGCATCGGTATAATATAATCCATCACTTAAATATTAAAAAGTCAAAATTGATATTTTTTTTCGAAAATATAACAGAAACCAATATTTTCAAACTTAGAACACAACCATATTCCCAAAATCTCCAATCTAGTATGGAGTCATCCATAAATTACGTCACACTTTAGGAGATATAAAGCTACAAAAAGGTGTAAGAAAGCCTTCGCGGGAGCTCATGCCCAACGAATATTACGCCTGGGTCAAGAACTGGCAGCCCATCCCCGTGGGAGTAGAGCCTTTTGGGGCCTGACAAAAGCTGTGCAGTCGAACTTCTGTCGCTCATCACTGCCACCGCTGCGATGCCCTGATGTATCACTGGCCCATGATGCGCAGGATAAGGCAGATTTACTGGCCAATATCTTTGCGTCTAATTCTTGGCTTGATGATGGCAATGCAGAGCCACCTACCTTAACCCCGTGCGGCGTCATGATGCCGGATATAAAAATCAGACAGCGCGATGTACGTAGGTTGTTGCTGGGACTCGATGCCCGGAAAGCCAGTGGTCCTGATGGTATTCCAGCGATTGTACTGAAACAGTGTGCGGCTGAGTTGACACCTATTTTGACGCGCCTCTACCGTGCTTCTTATTCATCAGGCTGTGTCCCACAACCATGGAGGGAAGCTAATGTGCAACCGGTTCCTAAAAGAGGTGATCGGTCAGATCCCGCGAACTACCGTCCTATCGCTATAACCTATGTACTTAGCATAGTTATGGAGCGGCTTATTAATATTAAAATAGTTCGCTACTTGGAAGATCACTCTATAATTCACGATCGGCAGTACGGGTTTAGGCCAAACCGTTCGACGGGTGATCTTCTTGCATACTTGTTACACCGCTGGGGTGAGGCGATGGACGCCCATGGTGAAACATTGGCTGTCAGTCTGGATATTGCTAAAGCCTTTGATAGGGTCTGGCATAGAGGCCTCCTCGCTAAATTTCCTTCTTACGGACTCCCTAGCCGGCTCTGTACTTGGATCACCGGCTTCCTGGCTGAGCGAAGAATACGTGTCCTGGTGGATAGTAGGGCTTCGCAATTTAAAATAGTGAATGCCGGGGTTCCACAGGGTTCAGTACTTTCACCCACATTGTTCCTTCTGCATATTAATGACATGTTGCCTTTAGGCCTCATTCATTGCTATGCAGACGATAGCACTGTGCATGGCACCTACACCGGCAAACCGTCGAGTGGCGTGGGACCAACGATGAGAAATCGTGAAAATCTTGTCGTGGAGCTCAATCGGTGTCTGGACTGTATTTCCAAATGGGGTTCAGATAATTTGGTTGAGTTCAACGCCAAGAAAACACAGGTATGCGCTCTGTCGTCTAAGACCTCCCCTTTCTCCCCTCTTCCCACTCTCCGGGGCACTAGCCTCACAACAAAAGATAGCCTCAATATTCTGGGCATGGATATTCGCAGCGACCTCAACCCAAAAGACCACATCGAAAGCGTTATAGTTGCTGCTTCTCGCAGGCTCGGAATTTTAAACAGAGTGCGTCGTTTTTTTACACCCGAGCAACGGTGCTTGTTATATAAGACCCAGATCAGGTCTAGCATGGAGTACTGTTCGCATCTTTGGGATGACTCCGCAAAATATCTGTTGGATGCCCTAGACAGGCTGCAGCGCCGGGCAGTACGCATCATAAACGATGAGGAGCTAACCAACAATCTTGAGCCACTGCAAATGAGGCGTGATATTGCCTCACTCAGTGTGTTCTACCGGCTCTATCGTGGAGAGTGCTCTGAGGAATTATTCAACATCATTCCCCCTTCCTCCTTCCGTAACAGGTTGACACGTGCCGGTGCTCGCTGCCATTCCCAGACTGTCTGTACTATACCAACTCGTACAAAAAAATTCGGCAAATCATATATTTGCCGTACCATTAAAATGTCGAACAGTCTCCCATCCCACATTTTTCCCATTAAATATAACCTTGGGTGCTTATCACTTCCCACCAGGTGTATTACAGTCACTTTGTCGTGCAACAATAAAAAAAAAAAGATATATTAGATAATATATTATATATTAGATAATTTATTTAGACAAATAGGTGACAAGATGAGGGGGAGGGGTTGTTAAAATTTTGTGTGACGTAATTTATGGATGGCCCCTATCATGATGGGTTTGTTATATACGCTCATGAATATGTGTAGAAAACTAGTTGAATAATAACCTATCTTAAAAACATTAACAAACTTATTATATATTACCTGTGTATTCAACAATAGCGTTGTGTAACTCACTCTTTTTTGATAAGGATGAGTGAGTACCTCATTTCACCTCGTGAGGGGCTCACGAGTTACCCCTCATTTGAGGTGAGAATAGATAATGTTACAGCAGTGAATGAGTACGTAGCGAGGTGCGCGCAACGGTGCCGTTTGTTACAAAATGAGGGAGGGACTCGGTAATGCTGAACAAAACATATATTTTCTTTAAAACTTAAAATTTATCAGAATGACCACAACACGCAACTTCTTTTTAATTGTGTCAAATGTTCCATTTTTAAAATCGATTAATTATTTATATTTCGAATCATATAAATATATTTCTAAATAAAACCGATTTTATTAACTTTGGTTTTTACTTAGACTAATTAATATCATTTATCTATAAAAAATAAATAGGTATTTGCGAAGAAACACATAAACAAACCCGAATCGTTCCAAAAAACTCATAAAACTTAACCCATTTCCTCAATCTTGAACATGTTGAGTAAGTATCGAGTCGCCTTTTCATTTTAAACAACTCGCTATTCTATTGCGTCAAAAAGTGAGGAGCCTCAAAAAGTGAGGAGCTAAATGAGGTGGTTCAAAATTGAAAAACGAGTACTCCCTCAACTTGTCGAAATGAGGACCTCAAACGAGGCACCTCGCGAGTGAGGGGCTCATCACTATTCAACGAACCCATGTTTCAGGATTTCATTTTTATAACTGTTATATAACTGTATTTTGTCAAAAAAATACGAGACTAGAATATTCGATTGGAGTAGTCGGAGCATTGAAAATTATATGGTTACTGAGATGTGGTGGAACGAGACACATCTAGCCAAGTGCCAGAGTGCTTCCCCGCCACTGGCACTCGAAGTAGGTAGTAGAAATAATTTAATGAAAACTACTAAATAATTGCTATAAATTTATAGTTTATTTGAAATACTTGAAGCCATAATTTAATTTGTTTATAACAGTACCTTAATAATAATCTTACTACTAATTTAGAGCAAATTTATTATAATGCAAACATTTCCTTTGGAATGTCATGGACATAAGGAGCCATAACCTCATGAAATTAAATCATTGAGGTTATGGCCCTGAAACTAACGATTAAATTTGGTAATTTCACAGGACTACGGCGAAACAAAAGGGATTACATATGTAATTATTAATATGTGGACAGATCAGTTAACCACAAATACATAAACGAAAAAATTATATTTTGTCAAATGTAATCGTAACGGAAACTCATCAAATAGAAATGTCAATCCACCTCAGTTCTCTTATCTCATTGTTTAAAGACCAAATGTCGACTGAACAGAAAGGTATTTACAAGTGTTCGAAACGAATAATCGACTCGCCGCATCACTAGTTTTAAGTTGCTGTAACGGTTTTTTTTTTCATTATTTTATTCCTTTTCTGTTGGTTCAAGCGAGTACACGCATTTGTAAAAAACCCGAATTTTATTAATTTGCACCTTTTAATACCAGACCCCTACATGGTCCTAATCTACGCCAGATATTAAGTTCCAGCTGATTCATTGGTTACGAAACCGGTTTACTTCGCATTTGGATTCTACGCGCAGTAATTGCATTGGGGATTGCGCATCGTAAAAGAGTGGTCGAGAGTAGTTCAAAGTATAACGGAAAAAAACGTTTGTGAAGTGGAGCAAATAAATTAATTTAAGAACCCAACACTCTAATCAGGTATTTTTAGGTGTACAATTGAGTTTTATATAAGGTTAGTAATATTCAATCTACTAATTTCTAACTAAACTGTGTAATTTTGTACGACAAGGCACCGGTCACAAATTATTGTGAAAACTTGCAGTGTAGATAAATTTAGTTATGGTGGTCAATTATTTATGCTATTGTTTGAGTTGACTACCAATTATTTTCAACGAATTTATCATTATTTTTACACTCATAATTTTTAATTTTCAATTGTAGGTACCGACATATTGTACGACATAGTAGATGAATTCATTTAATTGAAATTAATTAGCCTTATTTATTTGTTATTCTCAATTAATTCAATCAATTCGTAATTATTTTGTGTCAATATTTGTATTAATTATTTGTAAAAATCAGTCAATATAATTTGAATACGGTAGGTGTAAAATTATTTAAAATTTGTATCGTCTCATCGCAGGTAATAAATTTATAGCATAGGATAGGATACATACCTGTTGTAATAAATAGCCTAGTACATAAGTAAACGTTATTACTGTATAAATTCCAGGATGACAGAGGAATTAAAAGTGCCAAGTCGACCCCAGTCTCCCAGAAATTCTGACGAAAAAGACTTAATCAAAAAAAGAAGCGTTATTAAAAGACGGTTAACTGCGTTCGCGAATTA